CCTACCAACGATGCGGTCCAGGGCAGCGAGTTCTTGAAGGGCTTTGGGCCGTACTCCGTCAAGTACTGGTCCCGAGTCCGAGCCATGGCTAAGCGTGGCTTGTTGCCGGAGGGTGCGGCCACCGTAGTTAGTTTTCATTGCCTCTCGTTCTTCTTCTTTTTATTCTTTCTCCTTCCGACTCGGAACACTTATGACTTTCCTTTCTTTCGCAGGTCCGTACGACTCCGAATCCTCCAGTTCCGACGAGGCTGCTGTACCGACTCCAGAGATGACGGACAGAGCTGAAAAGTTGAGGCGTCGGCTGACCCAGCGCGCTTCCGGCACTGCTGCTGCCTCTTCCTCTCAACCGTCACCGGCTCCAAGGTCGACTCCTCCACTACCACATAACATGGTCGACCTGACGCCGTCGCCCGTCGTGTCGCCGACTCGACAATCGCCTCCTCCTCAATCTGAGAGTCCGAGCTCAAAACGGCCGGCCGAGCAGACGGACCTGCCGGCTCCGAAGAAGATCCGGTTGTGCCACGAGGTGGACAAGGATGCCCAGATCTGGCAAGGCAACTCCTCCGTCCGCAAGTGGGCCTCGAACATCCTTCTCCCCAAGGACGTGGTAGTGACCGGTGGCATGGGGGACGAGGTCATCATTGAGGCCTCGCTACGCCAATCATACCGCGTAAGTGTTTCCGACTCGTCTCTTTTTCCATTCTTTTTTCTTTCACTATCTGACTTCTAGTTTGCCTTGCAGAACCTCACCTTCCAAATGGAGATGAGTAGGCGACTGAGGGAGTACAAGACTGGGCTGAAGTCTATGGCTGTCCGAGTGCACAAAACGGAGGAGGCCTTCTTGGAGGAGCAAGCTAAGCACGCCAAGGCAGTGAAGGTGCATAACTCCGAGATGCTGAGGGTCACTCGTCAGTGGGAGGAGGAGCGGGACAAGGTGGCGACCATTGCCGTGACCTCGGTGGAAGACGACAAGAAGTCGGCGTCCTTCGAGGCGGACGTGAAGGCGGCGATAGAGGCCCGGCAGAAGGAGATCGCCAAGGCATGGCTGGCGACGCCGGAAAGTGACGACTTCCTTCTGGATTTGGGCGAGCGCGACTATCGCCTCGGCTTCTGCGAGGCGCAGACAGAAATCCACTCCGCCCTGCTGGTCCGCGACTCCTCTTTTACCCCCGAGAGCTGGGGCCTTAAGCCGGTTATAGACGCTCTCCCGGCGGCGGCTGTTGATCCGGCGGCTCTCCCTGCGGCGGCTCCTCCCGATCTTACCGAGTCCTCCCCTCAGGCAGAGGACCCTTCTTCTGTTCCTCCAGCTGGACCAACGGCGGGGGCACAAGTTGAAGGGGTCGATGTCGACACCCCCTCCCCAGTAGTTTAGGGCTATTCTTTTAGGATAGTCCCTTTTGTAAAGGCTGGCCTCCTTCTCGGGCCTTTTTTTTAATTTTAATGAAATTCCCATTTTCTCTTTCTTTCCGTGTTATCTTGGACTCGACGCTTTTTCTTTAACCTTTAATGGTTCTGCAAATCAAAGGAATATTCTTAAGGCATCAGACCCTGCTAACCCTGAGGGACGACTTAAGATCAAGGCCTTGTTTACTCTTCGGGTGCTCGCCGAGTCCCTCAGTCGAGGCGACTATTCTTGGCTTTTTCACGGAAACGACTAAGGGTCTGGGCCCTTGCTTCCTAACTTTCTCTCGCCGAGTCCCTCAGTCGAGGCGACCCCTTAGGCTTTTTCTTTCTTAGAAACGTTTAGGGTCAGTGCCCCATAGCTTCTTTATATACTCGCCGAGTCCCTCAGTCGAGGCGACTCCTCTTGGCTTTTTCACGGAAACGACTAAGGGTCTGGGCCCTTGTTTCCTAACTTTCTCTCGCCGAGTCCCTCAGTCGAGGCGACCCCTTAGGCTTTTTCTTTCTCAGAAATGTTTAGGGTCAGTGCCCCATAGTTTCTCTGTATACTCGCCGAGTCCCTCAGTCGAGGCGACTCCTCTTGGCTTTTTCACGGAAACGACTAAGGGTCTGGGCCCTTGTTTCCTAACTTTCTCTCGCCGAGTCTCTCAGTCGAGGCGACCCCTTAGGCTTTTTCTTTCTCAGAAACGTTTAGGGTCAGTGCCCCATAGCTTCTTTATATACTCGCCGAGTCCCTCAGTCGAGGCGACTCCTCTTGGCTTTTTCACGGAAACGACTAAGGGTCTGGGCCCTTGTTTCCTAACTTTCCTTCGCCGAGCCCAGGCGGTGGTTAACAGTAATTCGTATTCTTTTATTCAAGTCGTTTAAGACCCTCGGGCCTATACATGGCCTAACCTTTTCTACTGATAGAACTTCTTCAAGTGGACGACGTTCCAGATCCGGTCTACGAGCCTGCCTTCCAGAGTTTCGAGCTTGTAGGTGCCGGCCTGGACCACCGCGGCAATGCGATAGGGTCCTTCCCACTTTACCGCAAACTTGCCACCTTCCGTGGGCTGGCTTGCTTGCCGGTCTCGTAGTACGAGATCGCCGACCTGGAAGGTTCGTGGGCGAATCCTTCGATCGCGATATCTCTTTACCGCTTGTTGATACTCGACAATCTGAGCACTCGCGGCTTCCCTTCTATCGTCTAGGATATTTTTCTCAATTCGAAGATTTTCCTCATTCTCCGTGTCGGAATAAGTGTGGACCCGGTGAGTGGGTTCGACCACTTCAATCGGAACCTTGGCTTCGAAGCCGTACGCGAGGGAGAATGGACTTTCTCCGGTCGCTCGCCGCTGCGTGGTGCGATAAGCCCATAGGACTCGGTCGAGCTCATCCGCCCAATTTCCTCTTATGTCTTCCAATTTCTTTCGGATTCCGTCCACTATGGTTCGATTCACATTTTTGACCTGCCCATTGGCATGCGGATACGCCACGGAGACCTTGGTATGGCGGATATCGTGTCGGCGACAGAAGTCAGCAAACGCCTGGCAGTCGAACTGTCGCCCATTGTCGCTGACAATATGCTCGGGCAAGCCAAAGCGGCAAATCACCCTCTTCCATAGGAAGCGTTGGTATTGGTACTCGGTGATAGTGGCCAACGATTCAGCCTCGACCCACTTGGTGAAGTAGTCGATAGCCACGACACAAAATTTCAGGCCCCCGGGGGCTACTGGTAATGGGCCCAATAAGTCGATTCCCCACTTAGCAAATGGGATAGCCGTGGTGACCGGCGTGTAGAAGGTAGCCGGCCGAGTGTCCTTTCTGGCGAACGCCTGACAAATGCCACATTTGGAAATCCACTCGATGCAATCTCGCATCATAGTCGGCCAATAATACCCCTGGACGACTAACTTGCGGGCGAGCGTGTGGGCGCCCTGGTGTGCGGCGTAGATGCCTCTATGAGCTTCGTCCATTATTTTCTCGGCCTCGGGCCTGAGCAAGCATCTCAACAAAGGACCTCCGAATGACCGTTTGTACAGTTGTCCATCAATAATCTCGAAAGAAGGGGCTTTTCGTCGGACCCTGGTGGCGACCCCCGAGTCTTCCGGTAATTCGCCTGCTTCTTTGAATCGCCGAATGTCCTCTATCCAGAACATCTCGGGGTTTTTCTCCCTGTCCCATTCCTTGCCAGTTACCTGCTGGACTTCTAATGTCGTTTCCTTGATACTCGGTCGATCCAGTTCCTCCTTCTGGCAGATCTTCACAAGGTGGTCCGGTACTCCCTCCAAGGCAATCTTAGATAATATGTCGGCTTCTACGTTGTCTGCCCTGGCGATATATTCTATCTCGTAGGCTCCAAACTCCTTTAGCATCTCGACCGCCCGCTCTTTATATAAAGTCAGCACAGCTTCGTATTCGGCTTCGTTGTTAGATGTCGGGAACAAGTAGCTTAAGGCGTAGTACAGCCGGAATCCCTCCGGGGTGATGAGCATAATTCCACCCCCGCAATGTCGTCGACTCGACGCTCCGTCCGCGTACATTTCCCACCACTCGCCTAAATTGGTCTCAGTGACATGCTCCTTTTCTTCTTCGCTCGCCGTGCACTCGACCAAGAAGTCGGCCAAGGCTTGACCTTTTATGGAAGGCCGGGGCTGGTACTCAATCCCATACTGGGTTAATTCCACGGCCCATTTCACCAGTCGGCCAGACGACGAGGGGTTTCACAGGACACTCCCAAGCGGTTGGTCAGTCAACACTCGGACGGTGTGGGCTTGGAAGTACGGTGCTAGCTTCCGCACGGTGATCACCAACGCGCATACAATCTTTTCCAGGGCGGTGTACCGTGACTCGGCGGCCTTCAGGGAGCGGCTTACGTAATAAACCGGGTGCTGAACGCGCTCCTCTTCTCGGACTAGCACCGAACTCACCGCCTTAGAGGAGGCGGCTAAGTATAAAAGTAATGGCTCGCCAGCCTGGGGAGTAGACAATACCGGAGGTGTTGAAAGATATTGCTTCAGCTCTTCGAACGACTGCTGACACTCGGCGGTCCAAGTAAATCCTTCCTTCTTCTTCATGGCCTCGAAGAAAGGCACAGTCTTATCCGCCACCTTGCTCAGGAAGCGGCTAAGGGCGGCCAGTCGGCCAGTCAACCGTTGCAGGTCTTTTACGGTGCTGGGAGGCTGCATGTTGATGATGGCCTGCACCTTCTCAGGGTTAGGCTCAATACCTCGCTTTGTGACCATATAGCCCAAGAATTTTCCACCCTGCACGGCGAAAGCACACTTCTTGGGATTCAGCCGGAGATTGTATCTTATCATCACTTTAAAACAGTCGGCCAGATCTTCCGCATGCTTGCTCTCCTCTCGGCTCTTGACGACCATGTCATCGACGTATGCGGCCATCGATTTTCCCAGCAAGTGTTGGAACAATCGGGCCACCATTCGCGTGTAAGTGGTTCCAGCATTCTTAAGCCCGAAGGGCATGACTCGATAGCAATAGACCCCATCCGGTGTTAGAAACGCGGTCTTTTCTTCGTCTGCCGAATGCATGAAGATCTGGTGGTACCCCCTGAAGGCGTCCATGAAACTTAGCAAGGCTGACCCGGCGGTCTCATCAACCAACTGATCAATTCGCGGCAATGGGAACGGGTCCTTAGGGCAAGCCTTATTGAGGTCGGTATAATCGACGCACATCCGCCAGGCTGGGGGTTTTGGTACAAGAACCACGTTTCCTAGCCACTCCGGGTACTTGACCTCTCGGACATGTCCGGCCGCTAGCAGCGTGCTTACCTCCTTTTTTACGAACTCTCTCCGATTGTTGGCCGGGTACCGCTTCTTTTGTGCGACTGGTCGATGCTCGGGGTCTACAGCGAGTCGATGCGATATAATGGATCGATCGACACCGGGCATGTCCTCTGGACCCCAGGCGAAAACCAGCCGGTGTTCCCGGAGCACTTTTATGATTTCTCCTCTTACCTCCTGAGGGAGGCCGACTCCGATTCGGACCTGCCTGTCCGGTTGTTCAGGATCAATCTCGACTTCCTCCAGCTCAACAGCCGGCTCCGGGCGAGGTATCATTGTTTTCTTTGGGGGCCTTTCCGTGATCTCATGGACCTGCATCTCGCGCTTGCCCATCCCTCGGCAGGCTTGTAGGTAACAATCTCGGGCGACTTTCCGATCGCAGCGCACCGTGCCTATCCCATTCGGCGTACGGAATTTCAGGCAGAGGTGTTCGATTGAAATCAGGGCTCCTAGATCCTCCAAACCCGGTCGTCCGAGTATAGCGTTATGCGAGCAGGCCAAGTTCACCATGATGAATTTCATACTGAGCTTCTGTACATCGGGGTAACTGCCAAGCTCAACTAGTAGGGTGATGGATCCTTCCGCCTCCACCGAGTCCCCAGTGAAGCCGGCAAGGGGAGTTTTGACGGGATTTAGCTGTTCTCGGGTCAATCCCATTTTAATGAAGGTCTCCAGGTATAGCACGTTGACGCTGCTCCCGGTATCGACCAGGATTCGGCGAACGACTACCCCCTTGATATCCATGGCTATTACCAGCGCGTCTCGATGCAGCGTCTCTCCAGCCGGTAAATCCCTATCAGTGAAAGTGATGGGCTCTCGACACACCTTCTTGGAGTTCTCCTCGCGCCCATACACCGTCCCAACATACAGCTGTCGAGGCCAGGCCTTTCGAGTGTTTGCCGAGTCTCCACCTTCCGGCCCGCCAACTATCATGTTGATAACCGACTTTTAGCGCCACTGGGCCTCGTCTTCTTTGGATGCCGACTGCTTGCCCCGTCCGCTCTCGGCGGCGGCGGCGGGATCCTCGTCCCCTCGATTGGCCGACCTCCGCCTCCATTGATTAGGAGGCGGGGTTCCTTGCTGGATGATACCCTTCATGATCTTCTTCAGGTAAAATCATTCTTCTGTGCTGTGGGTATAAGATTTATGGTAACGACAGTATTTAGAGATCTTACCCGCTTCCTCGCTCGTAGCACGGTCGTCAATTGGTGGAGGCGGCGGCGGGGCGACCGCTTGTATTTCATGCATCGGCCACTCGGGAGCCGGCCGGTAGGGGTGTACGACGGGCCTGTCGTAAGGTCGCCTGACTTCGGGTCGTCGGGTTACGTTCGGGCGCCTTTCCTTGGTTTCGGCTCGCGTTCTCTTTCCGCCGGCGGATCCGCCGACTTCACGCTGCCGTTTGTGTTTCATAGCCTGCTCTGTGTTGGCCCTCTTGTTTGCCATGTGAATGGCTTCCGCGTAGGTAGCCGGGCGGTTATCCCGCAGATCTCGGTATAGCTGACCGGACCGCAAGGACTCGATGAAGAAGGTGAGTGCCGTCTGGTCCTCGACCTCCTCTATAGACTGGATTTCCTTCTGCCAGCGAGCCAGATAAGTTTTCAAGGACTCGCCTTCATCCTGATGAATGTCGCCCAGGTGTGTCAAGTCTTTTTGTGGTTTGATATTAGCGGCATAGTGGCTCATGAAGCGGTCCGCTAGCTCTTCGAAGCTACGAATCGACCCTGGCGGTTGTGCCACTAGCCACCTCTATGCCGGTCCTTTTAACGTGGGCACAAAAGCGCGACACATGACCGGGTCCTGAACTCCCAGGACCTGCATCTTGGCTTGGTGGCTTAGCAAATGCTCTCGAGGATCGCCGGTCCCATCGAACGTGGCTTGCTCCGGGAACTTGAAATCACCCGGTATCTTAAAGGCCATGACCTCGTCCGAGAAGGGTAGGGCGGTTAATAACGTACGTCCTGGGGATTTGGCTTTTCCATCCATCTGTTCTTTCAGATTTTGCACTTCTTGGACTAAGTTTGCCACTTCGACGCTCTCCCGGGTGTGGTTTCCTGTTGATTCCGTGCTCTCACCGACCTCAGACTCGGCCGGTTGGTCATGGTTGCGGACGGGCTGCTCTACACGGCGAGTTTCAGTCCTGGTTCTTTTGGTACGGTTCTTCTCACGTGCAGTTTGCCGACCGCGAGCAGCTAACGGGGCACGACTGGGTTCCCTCCGACCCAGTCGTTCTCTTGCCGACTGTTGTCCGGCGCTCGGACCCAACCGAGAATGAATGGACTGTACCGGTTGGCTCTCGGCCCGGCGGTTCGGTTGCCGGTCATCGGGCCTATGAGACGGCTGCTGATTGCGAGTGACGGATCGTTCTCTTATTCCTCGGCTCGCCTCGGCGCAGGCACGCCCAATCGCACGTAATTGCTCAGGGGTAAACTGCACCTGAGGCGGCTGTTGATTCATCGGTGGAGTTGGTGGCGGTGTTGTCTCGTTTTCCCGGCTCCGAGTGTTTCTCCGATTCAATTGATTTCTCAAGTCCGCCCCCAGTCTGTTATCGTGTCGGCTCGATTGTTCCTCACTTCCTGCCATGTCAGGAGCTTTTCTTATTCGTCTGAGATTCTTCTTGTCGTTTCCTGAACTCGCCTCGCTCAGGAGGACACGCGACTCTTAGTTTCGATCCCCACAGACGGCGCCGTGATGGTTTTTGGGTTTTCAGGCCTAAGGAGGTCCAACACAACCTTTAGCTGGAGGATATACCTTTCAATAAAATGAGTGTCTCAAAGGAAAGAAAGTGCTTGCTTAGAATCTCTTCTATTCCCTCTCCGGGTGCTCCTTTTTGTCCGTCCTCTACAAGAGTGGAGGAGCCTTTATATAGCGGCTCCTCCCCCACTGACTTGAAGGCCTTTACTAGCCGACTTCAAAACTAATTTAGTATCGAGCCGTTGGTCGCCTTTACTGAGTCGGCCAACGGCTCTCTCAAGCTCGTAACAGCCGGACCAAGTCCAGCCTTTTAATGCTCTAACGGTTCCTTGTTTAAGAGTCTCTTTGATGATCCCAACGGCTCCTTGAGCCGAGTCTCTCTCTGGGTTTGGGGGCCTGGCCGACTCCTCGCCCTCGGCCCAAGCTCCTAATGGGCTCTTCTTTACCAATCCTGAGTTAGGTCCCCGTACTTGGGCCTGGGCCGATTCCTGGACTAGGCCCAAGCACCCTCCGGGCTTCTCCCGATGCTAGCCCACCTTTCCTGCCTTGGGCTCTCTTCTGTGGGCCAATCTTTCCTGGGCCGGGGTCCTTACCCAATCAGTTTCCATCCCTGTTGCCTTCTATCTCTAAGGTTTATTAGGTTTGGTTTGTGTTGTTGGTTGAGGTGTCTTGGTAGTGAAAGGAGTGGTGTTTGAGCATAGTGGAGACTGAAACCCACACAAGAAGGAAGAACAAGAAGAGGTATAACCCCATGGACTCCCATCTTAAGTTTTAGCTCTGTGAAGCCATTGTTTTATTGGTAGATATGAGTAGAAATGCTAGATTTATGGAGTGTTTGAGCTATTAAGTGATCTATTACTTGTCTATGATGTGTTGTTGATGATTTGGGAGTTTTTGGTTGATTGATATTGTCTTTCAGGTGAAGGAAAAACTCACTGGTGCACAAAATAGTATGCACCAGATGAGACACGGGACTAGCCAACGGCCCTAGGCAGGGACCGTTGGCAAGCCCCGTGGAGGAGCGGCCCTAGGACACGACTCCAGGTTAGAGCCGTGGCCCTAGGCCGCCACCGGGCGGTCCCAGGCGGCGGGGCTCCTCTAGCCCCGCCGCAAGCCCCGTTGTCTTAGTCTGTGCAGTGGTGGGGCCCTTGTGGCTCAGCTACGTGTCATTTCGGACCGGGTATTTCTCCCCGTTTGATGTTTCCCCGTATCCCGTAATGTCCTGCCGTACATCGTTTGTCGTGTATGAGTCTAGTTTGATGTATCGGGTACCGTTCTTAGGGTAAAAGAAGTCTTGTATATTGCATGCTAGTTGAATTGGTATCCCGTTGGCCTAGGAGGAAGGTGAATAACCCCTTAGGCGTGTCTCGAGTAAATCTAATATGGTTGACCACGCATAAGTTATATTAGTATAAGTGTTCCCCAATGATTCCCCCCCCCCCCCCCCTTATGTGTTAATGTGGGTTGCATGTGCTTGGCTATGTGTTATTTGTGCATGATAACCCAATTGACTGCGATCAATTGGCTATACAGGCAGTTGGATGGGTTGAGAACCATCGGCTGTTAACCCGGCCGGTTGCGATCGGTCGGCTATATAGGCAGTTGGATGGGTTAAGAACCATCGGCTGTTATATATAACGTTTGATCGCAACCAAACGGTGGACCGCAGCCCGAATAGTATGTATATCTGATCGCAACCAGATTATGGACCGCGGCCCTATATATATATATATATATATATATATATATATATATATATATATATATATATATATATATATATATATATATATATATATAGGGCCGCGGTCCATAATCTGGTTGCGATCAGATATACATACTATTCGGGCTGCGGTTCACTGTTTGGTTGCGATCAAACGTTATAAATGAGCTGCGGTTCATCGATTGGTTGCGATCAATCTCCTTGTGCTGCGGTACAAGCAGGGTGCTTCGGGGCCGTGTCAGAGCTATATGCGCTGACCCTCATGTATGGGCATGCGATTGGTCCTGCGGCACCACCAAATGTGTTTACGTGTTGGAAATAGTGATTGAATACTGATATGATTGATAAGAAATATTCTTGTGACCTTAGGGTGCATGATAGTATCTTTATATCCGTAATTAATTTT